CTATAAATATATTTATTTAATACTTGATCTTGTTACTCTTTTCAGCTGTCGGACATAAATATAATCCCAGCCAAAGCTGTGAAAATCCAAGCGTTTATTAAACGACTGACCAGAGATTTTGTGAACGTTAACTTAATATTCTATGCTCATGCATCACAAGCGCGCGTCTGTGTAGATGTGCGTGGATCATCTCGATCCAAGATTAGTCATCTAAAAAATATGTTGAAAATTAGTTTTAAAAGTTACGCGCGTATTATATATTACAATAAGTAAGTATTTCGTATATCTCTTATTCAATGAGGTTGCCTCAGTTCTCTCACCGACGACTAATAAAAATATAGCTCGGACAACAGCAAAAAAAGAAAAAGAAAACTTCATTCCACCATCGTTTCCATAGATTTTTAAATCAATTTCCACGTAAATATATTAACATTAATTCGAAATATTCAATCTTACGATTAGGAAATAAGAAGGCTTTTGGGTTTCTAAATTTAATTTTCGCAAAATACAATGTCATTTAGAATGATGAACGCCTATTTAACAACATTTTCTCAATATTAATTCTAAATATATTAGAATAATTGTTTTAAAAAGTTTTTTGCCCAACTAAATTCTTTCAAATTACATGCAAAAAGTCCAACCGACTTAAGCGGAGAATTTTTCAAGAAGTTCTTTTTATATAATTTTAAAAGCACTTTAACGTTTTAATTGAAGCAAATTATTGAAATATTAAAGAATTACTTCTTAAAAACGTAAACAATGTTATTGATCGTTTAAAAGAATTGAATAGTTTAACTATCTCATGTTTTTCATACATGGAAAATATAATAAATTTTACGTTATTTGATAATAATCAAAATTATTATCTCGTTTCTTAGTAAAAACTTATCGATTTATGTTTAAAAATTTGTACAAACTAAATTTCAATAATATTACTTTTTAAAAATGTATTTTTACACAATGAGCTTACACTCTAAGGAAAAATAAATAAAATATTTGATTTTTTGTTATAAATATTTTGTTCTTTCTAATAAGTCAGGTGCAAAGTGCTATGTTTCTTCACCACATATTGTATGAAAAAGGACAAAATATATTTTTTAATAACTTTTAGATGCATGCACTTGGGATGAATGGTTTCGCATATATATCAAGTCGTTATTGTTTATATAGGCGGAGCAAAGTTATGCAAAAAAATTGTTTCTCGAATTCTTTTTCACTTTATAAAATATTCGTATTGCATTTTAATATTGTTTTTATTGCCAAATGTTTTTGCACGTATGAATCTAAATATTGTTGGAAATAAGAAAAAAATTGATTTTATAAGCAATTGTTAGATTGCTTGTTTCGAAATACGAAGGAATTCATTCCTATCAATATTTTTATATTATACATTATATGTGATTGTTCTGATATTGATTCAATTTCCAATACTATTTGTCATTGTTCGATTTTTTTATATTTGCCGTCGTCGTCGTCATCGTCGTCGTCATCGTCGTTGTTGTTGTTGTTTACATAATTATAATTTTAATTACATTTTAATGCACAAAATATTTTACAATATACGTGAAATATAAAGATTTAAAAGTTGAAATATTTTTATTATTGTTTTACTTTATAACATAAATGTAGTATCAATAGTATAATATCTTACGAAAAGTGTATGTGATGTTTAATTTACATAAAAGTTACCTTTATCTTGGACACGAAAAAGAAAATAATACACTACTATACCTACATTATAGTTTCAATTTAACTAAATATTGGTCAGATTATTCACTTCACGAAATAAAACATGAAATAAATACAATGTACATTGATAAAAAAATTTGTAAATATTAAAGTGCTTTTCAGTCCTTCAATAATGTCAACAATCGTTCTATATTTAATTATGTGTCAATTTAATAATAAGATTGCGATTGATAATTATCTACATTGATAATTTACAGTTCAATTATTAGATTCGACAATAGTATATGAAAAACAATAAATAAAGAATAAATAATTAGTCAATTTTTACAAATTCATTATAATATTTGTATTATGTAAATAAAAAAAAATTAACTTCTAACATTGATTATTGTTTGAAAAAGCGTTTGAATATAATAAAAATAAATGTATTTGAAGCGTAAAATAAAAATTGCTTAACATAAACGTAAGTATGCGAATTAAACCAAATTTAAAATTTGTAATCATCTACATCGTCTTTAATCAATCTTTACCGCATAATATCATCGTAGATGTTGAAAATTGAGATATTGATAAATGATATTGTAAGAAATTAATCGCAAATGATATTTTCCACGCTTACTTTCTTCTATTACTTTCCTCTACATCCTTCCCCTCTACATTCATCGCGCACTTTATCCTACCTTAATTTTGTTAGCTCATTAGGAACTTTTCGACATATATTCCAATATACAATCAAATAAATATCTTCACTAAGGGATAATACATCACAAGGGTTAGTTACTAATGTTGTTCGGAACAATTAAGTATTATTAAATAGTGAATTATTTTTATCTACTATTTTGTATCTCGTGCACGTAATCAAGTATAGTGAAAGTTATCAAGTACGGCCTGCGCTATCTTATGGGCAGGTACTTTGCCCACGAGAATGACCGCAAATCTATTATGCAATGGCTTGATACAAGACTCCTTGTAATCGACATTCACAATTCGTCGCGACGTACCTTACTTCGGGCATTGTTCATAATGCCCGGGACATCGGGGACGATAAATTCCGAGAATCTAAGCGCCGCTGGCATTCGATTAATGGCATTGGACATCGTGAAAACCGTCGACATGCCGAGCCACGGCGTGCCTCAAAAAGTGAACCTCCGAGCTTTCACGGATAAGCGGCGTCGAAAAGCCAGCCCCCGGAAAATATGTAACGTCGTCGTCGTTGTGCACTGCTGTTGGACGGTGCACAGCAACAGCCGACGAATACCAGACGGCCACGTAACCCTCGAAATACGGCTTGCGAGCGTCTGCCGCGGCGCATGTTGTTCGCGTAAGCTCGGTAGCTTTGGTGAGTTGGGGGTAGGGGAGAGGGGGGTGGGGGGAGGGGGAGAGGAGAGGAGAGGAGGAGAGGCCGCGTGTAAGGGAGGCCCATTATTAGCTGAAACTAGCAATAATTAATTTTTATTGATAAACTGCCGACGCGCATACGCCACAAGTGAGATAATACTACTGGCGAGCATAATGAATGCAAAGTCGTTTGCGAATGAATGAACGTGGAGGGAGTTTTGTGGGATGATGAAGACGGCGGTGATAGGGACGGCGGCGTTTGACGGGAATTGGTGGGGAAGGTGGGGAAGGTGGGGAAGTTGGGGTGGGGAGGGTGGTGGAAGGTGGAAGGTGGGGAAGGGAGGGGGGGGGGTGGGGGGGGAAGGGGGTGGTGGAAGGTGGAAAGCCGCTATTATACGGTAGCTTAAAACCTATTTTAGCATTATGCGTAAGGAATTACTTATCGTCAAAAATCAAAAGACTTTTTGATAATACCGAACAATGCGAGCGCTTCACGCGGCTTCCTTTATACGGCAATGCACTCATACGTATCGTATCAAGACCCAAAGATAAATAATTGACGAAATCTAATAAAATGTAATAAAATCGTTGATCGCATTAAACTTTAGCGTAATAATTGGAATTGGATGGCAAGTTGTTTCTTTAATTAAAAACAATTTCAAATTTTATAGTAAATAGAGCCGTTAATATTCCTTTATTTTAAGCGTCGCTGCAATAATATTTCCAACTCGATTTTGAAATATTATTAAATTATATGAATGAACTGTTGTCGTTATCATTTTAATAAATTAATAATAATAAAATTACTATTTTAATTCAATATATATATATATATATATATATATATATATATATATAATCGTGTAAGTCAATGGATATGAATATGGGTATATTTAGATAAAGAAAGAAGAAAAAAGAACTCATCGTTAATAAAATTTTCATTTTATTTAACATTACATATATACAAAAATCAACATAATCATTTTAATAAATTAAACGAGCATTCGATCTCTTGGTATATCACAATAAAATGTCACATATTTTCATAAGACTACAAGTATCAGTATCGTATAATCCGAAATTATGAAGGAAATATTGAGATGTAATGTTGCGATTAATAATACAACTAAATTTTATATAAAATACATTTTACCGTTGAGAAAGTTTACGAACTTTAAGCATTAAAGTATATATTATTCGTGTCGGCGACGAAAATTTCACTCAAAAGTGTACGATTGTTACATCATAGTTCTTTTGGAATATAAAGTTGCTTAGCTTTAGCAACTAAACAACTTTCAAAAAAGTTACTTTTCAATTCACTATGACGGCTAATACGGGAACAAACTTCCAATTCGCTTTAACAAAGTTTTTATTTTTATTTTGAATTATAAAATAGTAGATCACGATAATAACAACAAATATAGACGATATTCTATAAGTTTAACCAACTTGACACAACTTGACACAACTTGACACAACTTGACACAACTTGGCACAACTTGGCACTAATTAATTCTATAAAATTTCTCGTACGTAGCAATAATTTATACAAAATCGAGGGCTAAAAGCGTCATAGTTCATCCGTTATTACATACATTATGTATGACGAAAGGAAACATCTCATTTCCAAAATAAATCATAAAAAGGAATCGAGACAAGTACTAAAGTGCAGGCGAGCGGTGTCTATAAGCTTGCACCGCTATTAATATCCCGATATAACGTTAGAAGCGAAACAAGGGACTTCGAAACCTGATATTACGTCGAAGTTATAAAAATATCAAACAATCCGGAATTGCGATCTTCGAGAAAGGGTCGCGATCTACGACGCGGTCCAACCACTTGAACTCCGTGTACGTTATACAAAATTCCGAAGCTGTCGCCTTACGGGCTAAATCAGGGGATCTATGAGAGGGAAGGAGATAGATAGATAGATAGATAGATAGATAGATAGATAGATAGATAGATAGAGAGAGAGAGAGAGAGAGAGAGAGAGAGAGAGAGAGAGAGACTCGACAAATATGCCCAAGGCGCGTGAAGTAAGTGAACAGTCATTATCTTCATCCGCTGCAGAATGTGGCGAAGCTGGCCATTATCTTAAGCTAAAAGTCGGCTCGGACTTTTTCCTCTCCTCCCGTGCCTCTGAAATGGTAAATGTACTTAATTTTACGATATCGTTCAAATTGCACATATTACGTGACCTTTCGCTAACGTTACATCTTAAACGTCAAAGAGCATACTTAATCGAGCAATATGTGTGTGTGTGTGTGTGTGTGTGTACGTGTTTATTCTCTTTTATTACCTGCAGACCAACGCAAAACAAAAACAAAAAAAAACCAATCGTTTTTGATTTGAAAAATATTTACAGTTCGTTAATAAATATTGTCGTGAAATACATTGAAAAATATGTTTAATAACGTAATAATTATTTTGTATGCAATTATTAATATAGGTAAGAAAATTTTAATTGCACTTCATTGCAGAAATCGCATTAAATTTTCTCTCTCTCTCTCTCTCTCTCTCTCTCTCTCTCTCTCTCTCTTAAATTAACACGCTCGCTTACTGCAGTCCAAATCTCAATTAGAGCCCTTTGATTACAGTTGGACAAAGACGTCTCGTCTCGTATCGATGATGATGTACCGCTTTGTATTCAGCATGGATTTTTTCAAACGAAATCAACTAGCGCATTTCTAACATTTGTTACTAAATTAAAGTTACCATACGCAATACGATCGCCGCATTAAAATCTATTATATCGCAGCGTTATTGCATTTTTAAAACGAAGCTGAAAAATAAATTTAGCGTTAAATAAAAGATGAAGAAAAGAGGCAAATAAAAAAAATAAATAAATAAAATAAATAAATAATACATTTTTCAAATTCGTTCAACAAGAAAATGAACATTGGAATTTCAATAATCGGAGCTCGGGGATTAATAATATTATACAATACCAAGGGCTTTCGAAATAGCACAAAATTCGCGCACAAATAAACAAAGGAATCCTCTTTAATAAAGTAACCTAAAGGGTCGCTGCTCGTCGCGAGATCCAATTATGAATTCGCATTGGCCTGATCGTATGAAATGCTCGTGAGCCGGAAGCGAGCGACCTCCGTCGGTGTCGGCGACGATCGATTCCCCGCTTGTCGCCACCGCCGCTCGATTAACATCGAACAAACAGAAAACTAGGGGGAGAACGTCGCGAGCGTGACGCGAGTCCCCCGCCGCCCCGCGCTAAGGAACCACGACTCCCAGTTGACAATCGGCATTGCATTCGCGGCAGCCTTCGCCGGGACGCGCCCGCCCGAGGATATAATGTAGTGGTGAGCCACCGTGACTTCGGCATCCCGTCGTCGAGCTCCTGGCCAACGCGCTCATTCTCACTGATACTATTGAAAAAATTATGTACGCCGCATGCGACAGATTTCGTATGCCCGGGCGCGTTGTTACGTTTTGTGCTTGAACGGTGAGTTAAGTAAGACTCGAGGAGCCGGCGTTACTTTTTGCAAGACGACCGTCGAGGTTAGGAAGTAACGAAACGGCGAAACCCCGTTGAATATCGATAAAACGCGACGCGCCAAGTATGAAAGGTGTTCTGGCCTCCCCTACGTCGCTCGCTTATCCTTAAACATTTATTAATTAAGATCGGTATAAGACTGTCGGCTTGCTTTCATTATCCTTTCATGAATTTCAACCAAGAATTTATGTGTCTTTTCTTTTTTTTTTCCCTTCTTTTTTTTTTCCTTCGTTTTTTACCCTCTTTTATCATAAAAAAAAAAAAACTCGAGGCAAGGCGACGTTAATGAAATCATACGCACTTATGTATATATATGCGCGCGAGCGCACACGTGCTTATTGCATAAGCTACATTGTATCAACAGTGATATTACAATAACGAAGTAACATTTCACCGATTATCTCATTATTATAATAATACCCTTGTTAATTGCCATTCTGGAAAATAAAGCTTTTAACATAATATTTCGTATCATTATATTATTGCTATTGTTTTTGCAGTTATATCATTGAATGCTATTCTCGACAGATTTGTTAAAAGTTTAAATTGGCCAAACGTCAAAAATGCCCCTAAAAACGTCTAATTGCTCGATCGCGACAAAGTCATCGGATCGAAAATTAAATTCATCATCGAGTCAACGAAAATATCGAGCTCAAGAGTACACCATTCACAAGCCAAGCGAGTGTAATCAGGTTCTGAACAAGAAGTCAATTCATTTAAAGCGATGCACATACGACAACAAAGAGGTAAAGAGCTTACTTAGGCTTTAAAATATATAGTGAAATTAAAATTGTCATTATAGAGCGTGAAGAATACTTGAAAAAAAAAAAAAAAAACCCTACGAAGATTAACAATTTGTTTATTAATCAACAACATTTTCATTAATGATCAAACAAATTAATTTAGCAAAACTTTTTAAAAAAGTTAAATTAAAAAAAAAAAAAACATCGCAAGACTTAAATAACAACTCTTTGTTTAAAATTAACGTCAATGGGCGCTAATATCCCGAAGATCCCCAAAGCAAACCGACCAATTAATCAAATATCCTATTTGACATAATAGATATAAGTTTGATTTGTGCCTGACAATGATATCGAATGGCCAAGGAAATCTATTTCATCACTTATACTTTAGATAACGTATCATTAACTCTACAAGCCAAATTACCCTACGCCATTAACTGTAAATAATAAATTTTAGATAATACGTGCTATGGACAAGGAAGGCTTTCGAAGTCTACTCATACCGTCGACAGAGCCAAACGTCTATCCAAAAATTATCTCAAACACGGAGTTTACGAATCTGCTCGAACGCACTCGTAATCCATCGAAACAGGAAAAAGAAGCGGCTCTCGCAGCTGCCGAACGAGAGAAAGAGCGTCTTCTACAGTAAATAATAAACATAATTTCTAACAAATTCTTTTGACGAGCTCCCACAGCCATTCTAGCGACTCCATATCTAATAACCAACCCCCCCCCCCTCCTCCTGGAGTTTACCCTTTTGTTCATCGATTACTCCATTTTTCTCACCACGGTTAGCCAAATTTTATCCAAATTTTATCCAAATTTTATTCAAATTTTAGCCAAATTTTAGCCAAATTTCATCCAACAAATTTTGATTACTCCATTTTTCTCACCACGGTTAGCCAAATTTTATCCAAATTTTATCCAAATTTTAGCCAAATTTTAGCCAAATTTTAGCCAAATTTTAGCCAAATTTCATCCAAATTTCATACAAATTTTAGCCAAATTTTACCCAAATTCTCCTCTCCTCTCGAATATCACTAAAAATAAAGAACTTTCATTAAATCAATTCATTTTTCTTAAAATCCATTTGTTTTTGTCCGTGTTCGCTTGAATATTGATGAAACTGTAAACTGATAAATTGCCGAATACTAGAATTCCAAAAATTTTTAATGTACCCTCCTTATGAGAACATTTTATCAATTGAAATGCCATTACGAATTTATTAATAAAAAGAAATTTCTAAATTTACACAATACCGGAATTTCATTAAATTGAATGAAATAATTTAAATAATCCTCGAGTCCTCCTTGTTTTTTTTTTTTTTTTTTTTTTTTTTTTTTTTTTTTAAACAGTATAAAACCGACAGTGAATGAAGGAATGCAAGTGATATATGTGCTTATTTTATTTTATATTAGAATTGCAAGATTTCTATTAAAAAAAAATTAGTTAACTTACACGTTCATAAGCACACGAGCTATTTTATTTTATTAAAGTTATGCGATTCTTTTATTAACATAACATAATTATAATTATCTTTGATACAATTGCTATATTAAATTTAGTATATTAAGTATAAATTTAAGAGTATTCTATCTCTTACATCCACTAATACATTAATTGCTTATTTCCAGTCCATTAATGAATCAACGTAATAATTGATCATAAAAATATAATAAAATGCAAAAAGCTATATAATATAAATATTTTGTGTGCATTTATAATTTAATAACAGTTAATGCACATAAATAAATAATATATATTATGATAATTATATAATGACATTTTATTGAAAAATATTTCTCAAAAAATAATAAAAACTTAATTACTTTTGCTTCGAGCAGACATTAAATTACATAAGATTAAAAAAAAAAAAAAAAAAAAAAAAAAAAAAAAAAAGAACCAGTAATTAAAAGAAAAAGTAATCAACAATGGTTAATCGTAGCGATTTTAGTCCTATAGATCTATCTTTAAATGATTCTTTCAATAAATTTCTCTTCAGTATTTACATACAATCGTTGAATTTATCAACATTGTCAATATAGCATATAATAAATTTGTAATAGTAATTATAAGAAAAGGCAATTCATTTATCCAGTAAAAACTCTTGATATTTTTAAGCATAAATTGTTGTGGTTTGTGTAATTTTGAAAAAAATCTGTCGTTTAATATTCGACTAAACAGCATAGATATATATCATGCTACTTTCTACATACTTTGTTTCAAGAATTAAAATAAAATAGATATATTTTCTCCCTAAGTATACACGAATATCGATTCGTTTAATTATTTATCTTAAAGTTTGTCTTTTAATGTGATAGAGACATAATGTCTCGAATAAAAGCACGACGACAGCATGAAATTATTCTATTTACGATTGAAATGCAATATTTAATAGTTGGCAATATTGAATGAGTTTCATAAAATATAACTTACTCTGTTGTTGTTGTTGTTGTTGTTGTTGTTTATCATTCAATAATTTGTATGTAAAATATAAAGATCTTTTAATAAAAAAAAGACAACATTAATGTCTTCTGTGAATGTGTTTCTTCGTCGGTATTCGTTGATATTCGCACGCCCACGTAAAATATTCAAAATCACTTGAACAAAAAAGATGATGAAAAAAAAAATAATAATAATAATAAATAAATAAATAAATAAATAAATAAATAAATAAATAAAAATAACTTTTAATTCAGGACATAAATTTAATAGATGAAAATTACAGATAATAGTACGAAGAATTATACTTTTATTATTTAAATTAACTGCTATAATAATAAATAGCCTTTTAATTGCAACAATTTATTTATTATTAATTTTCATTGCAACGAAAAAAAGAAAGAAACGTGTACGATGTACAAAATAATTTATCTTTTTTGTCTATTCCTTTAGTTAAGACAATCTTATTTTCCATGTATATAATAATAGATATAAAAAACTTTTACCTATTAAGTCTTTTATTCTTATGGGCGACAGAGCGCTTCAGCTAATAATAAAAACCATTTACATATTTATGAAACACTTTTCCAATTAAAGATATATCCGATGACTAAACACATAAAACAGATAAGAATAACAAAACTAATATTACCATTTATTTTAAAAAGGTGACTGCTTTTTTTTTTTTATTTATTTTTTTTTTTTATAGTATCCATTTATACATCCGTTTCCCCGTCCTCCAAACCCGTTGCCAAATTCCCTCTCTAGCTCCCTTCAATTCAAATCGAGCGGAGACCCTACTAATTTATTAAAAGATCACATTGTCAAACTAAAGGGAATGTATGGCACGCAAGGAGTCGATCCGGCACATGGATTTGCAGAAGACTCGAGCGAATCAGGGCCGCATGTCCGAGATCGAGAAGGAGGCGCGCGAGCGCACGATGAACCTGTTGCAACGAGCACACGATATAGAACTCGAGAACGAGGAGCAAATTAAGAAGTGCAACAAGCTCATCCTCGAGACTAAATGCCGAGCGGTACGCGATGCTCAGGTACGAAAGTTCAGCAGCTATTGATTTCATAAGTTACTACTAATTTCAGAAATTCTATTCTAGCGTATGGAATTAGCGTTGTTGTGAAAAAGAACTAAGTGTTCGTGTATCAAATTAATTTCCCGCAATAATAACTCTAAAAGTCAATTTACTCATTCCATCTAATTATTAATAATAACAAATAATTTAACAATAACAAATAATTTAATAATAACAAATAATATGATTATTATTTCCTTTACGAATTATTAACTTTAACGAAATATGTTATCTTTAAATTTATGAACATCGTGATAATTACTAATCAGCTTACATTACATTGGAATCGTGTAAATCCCATGTGCAAATAGCTATTGTGCCAATAGTTTTATTCAACCAATTTCTTTACCAAAGACAAATTTGACATACCCAAACATGATGTCCTCGCAAACATAAATACTTAAATTAAAAATATACAATTTAAAACGCGCAAAGTACCAGTATAATAATTAATAACAAAAATTTTCACTAAATAAAACGTATTATTTCATTATACCGATATAATATTTATAAATAAGTACATTATAACATTTAATGTAAATAGAGATATTGAGGGATATAATGTTTATTAATATAAATTAATAAATAAGCTTTGAAAAACCACTGGTTACACATAGTAATATATAATACGAAATTCATCTAATTCTCTTACAGTGATAAATAATAGATCCGAAAAAAAATTAATTTTGTAATTATAGTATTTAATTTCGTTGTTGTTGTTGTTGTTGTTGTTGTTGTTGTCCGATAATTCATAATTTAGTTTTTCAATTTTTAATATTATAGTTAAGTTATATGAATTGTGGGATTATTAAATCAATTTTTTTTTTTTTATTACTTCGTTTATTCTTAAAAAGTTAAATACCGCTGAGGTTCTATCGAAATTCTTAAAATTGTTGCTTCAGCAACTTAGAAAAGTGAAGTAGCACGTTCACTTTGTAGCAAACATGAAAATTTTTGTTGTACGAGTTTGTATTACAACCTTTTTTTTGTTATTTATTTTTAAAATATCATGTTTTTCAAATTTCTTTCAAATCGAAACTCCGATTGAAACAAAATTTAAGAATATTTAAGGCATATCCCTTTATTGAGCAAATCAACAACAAATTAATAAAAACTAGATTTTGTTCATAAAAAATGCGTACATCATTAATAATTAAAGTGAAATATATTAATTATTTAATTAGTTATTTTTAATAATAATTGCTTTTAACTTGACAATGTTTTATAATGTAAAATTTATTCTGATTTTGGATTTAGGATTTGCTTCGAAATTAAAAATATATATTATTATTTTATCAATAAATAAATCGTTATCAACAGTATTAGTTATTAGCAATGAATGGTCATACATTTCCGTTCAATTCAAGTTCATCTAATGACCATGGAAAACGTATAGCAACTCCGTAAATATTGCTTAATTAGTTAACTAACTTTTTATTGTGATTGAAAGAAGAAATTAATTATTAATTCAATTATAAAAAAGAATATACGTGCTATAGCTATTCATTTTACTAGTATTGCTCAGAAAGTTTACTATCTATGTTTTATCCACGATCTATGAAACATAATTGAGATAACGCCATGATATATAAGTATAATATATTATCGCTATCATAATGTATAATAGAACAGAATAGAAATAAATATTCGGTAAAAAGCCCAGCGTATGTACTTTTGATTTTTCAAAATTGAATATGGAAAATTCTTTTGAATGATAAAATAATCGTTCATTTATCCGATTCCGTAAATTACATTTATTTTATAAATATATTTTTGGACATATGTCAAAGCATTTATTAGATACATAGTTAATGATTTTATTAGTGAATATTTTGAAAAAGAGAAATATCGATAAAAATATTTTTTTTTTCCTTTTTTTTTCCCTTTTTTTTCTTTTTTTTTTCTTTTTTTTTTTCTAGTTAATAAGATTATTCCGTTGGTATTTTCGTAATGTCACTTTCGACACTTTACAGTGATATGGCGGATGACGATTCATAAAATTTACGTTTATTTAGATATTTCCGTATTAATATACTAATCTAATAGTAAAGAAATCTTTAAAATTTGTTAAAAGACAAGCCTATCTACCTCGGACACTAGGCTGCAACCTACTTAAAGCTTAGTTTATAATTTCAACAATAGTAAAATGATTAATTAAAAATTGTTTCTAAATGTCATAATAAAATTTACCTGTAAATTCTTGACTAACTCGTTTTTAATTGCCACCTTATCGATCGATTTGATGTCCGCGATGCTCTGTTAATAACAATCTAGCGTGGCTGCTTCATTATAGCCAAGCATTACCATTTAAAATCCAAATTCCAAATGAATGTTACGTATTTGCAATCGGCGTGACGTACCGCACGTGACACTGCCCCGGTTCTTCGTAATTCAAAGCGATTAGAATGTTTATTACAGATTGCAGAGAAGAAGCTGCTGAAGCGGGAAGACGTGGCCGAGGAGCAGCGCGTTAACGAGCTGATGGAGAAGGAGCGCGTGTCCGCGATTCGCACGGAAGAGCTCAAGGCTATCGAACGTGTAAAGAGCCGACAACATTTTGCTGAGTTCCTGAAGAAGCAAATCGAGGCGAACGAGCGGGAGCGGCTATTGATGTACGAACGCAAGCGCGAGGAGTCCCGCCTCGTCAACATAAACAGCATCGCCCAGCAGGAAGCGAAGCTAGAGAAGCAAAAGGAAAAGATAGAGGAGAAGGAGAGAGCGCGACGGGCCCTCGCGCAGTGCAACGAGCAGCTCAAGCACATCAAAGCCATGGAGGAAGAGGAGAACCGCATTATGGACATAAGGTTGCCACTTGGCCTTCAAAATCTTATATTACCGTGACAGTAGCTAAGTAAAGAAGCTCCAGGTAGGCGAATATAAACATTGATATTTTATGCTGAAAAAAAAATAAGCACTGGATTTTGCCGAATGCGTAAGCAGCATTTATATTGATTTTAACAAGTAATTCAACTATGAATAATCAAATGCAGATTATAGGCGATTATCGATAGATTGTTTGTTACAAATGTTTTTGTACGTTGCCTATAGATGAAACAGATTGAATCCGTATTAAAAAATAAAATAAAAACAAAAAAAAAATGTCATAATGCAAAATAAAACATGGAGCACTATTATTTTATGAAAAGCAAATGCTCATAAATAGAAAAAGGTAAATTTTTTTCTTTTTTCTTTGCACTGACATGCAATTATAGCTCATCATTAAAACAACGAAGTCTAGTACAACAAGCTTGACCTTATTACATTTAGAATATAAATAATTAATTAAAAAATACAAATCTAAAATCTGTTAATAACAAATTTTAATGACGTGTAATTCAATAAAGTATAAATTAGTAGTGGTTAATCATGACAATTAATAATAAATAAATTATAAATTATAAATCTGCATAATAGAAAGTAATGTCTATGAAAAAATTAATTACTTGTTTTGAATTTTTTATATTTCTTTTTAAATAGTAAGACAAATATTTTGTCAGTATTGGAAGCATTGAACACAATTCAATTATAATTTCATTATTGCGTATAAAATGTGCACATGTGCGGACACGCAATTTTTATACGTTTATATGTAATTATTATTATTATATATATATATATATATATATATATATATATATATACAGATAAGTATAAATAAATAATTAACGAATCAAAATATTTAACGATATACATTTTAATTACTTTACATTCAAATATATCGTTGAAGAAAAAAAATGCAATATTAACAAATTTAATTAAAAATAATATTGACTATGCAAGTTATGATTATTATTATCTAAAGCGCTATTAAACATTTAAGAATTTGTTTAATAAATTTATGCACAATGATACTTAATATGTGAAGGAAAGGGTAAAATCAAAAGAATTATCTTACAGGATACAAAACTTTCACCGAGAGAAAGCCGAAAGAGATGCCAAAATAGCTGAAGAGCTTCGACAAGAACATTTAAGAAAGGAGCGAGAAAAGCATCGAATAGCTGAACAAACATCTCAAAGTCGTGAACTTCAAGTGCGTACACTAACCACTAATACAAACAACTCTTAAAGGAGCTAAAATATGCGACAACTTGAAGTAATTATCACTTTAAAATTTGCAGGCTCTGTTAGACGATATGAATACAATTAAAATGCAAGAAGATGTTGAGCGGGAGTGGCGACAACGAGAAAAGGAAAAGGCGTTATTGCACGCTGAAAACCAGAAGAACCTGCGCTTGATGAGAGATCAGCAAATTATGAACAAAATGCAAATACAGGCAATGGAAAGTGAGCGAGAGAAGCAGGAATTCGAGAAGATACTGAAGCTGCAGAAAGAGGCCGTTTGCCGGGAACAGAGGGAGCGCGAACATACACAGAAGCGAGATTTTGAAACAGGTAATTAATTATTTGCCTTCTCATAAGAAAAGACTTCATTTCTTTTCAACTTTTCAACATCAATGAAAAAATTTTTTTACTATTACCACACCCCCTGCTAATATAATGCACCTCTTACCATTTGGTTTTTCTACGTTAAAATCGCATTAAATGCCAGTCGATAACGAAAGTTATAAAAACCCCTTCGATTGTATGTCTTGCAGGTAAATGAGAAAGAGAAAGAGAAAATAATGTCTCGTCAAAAAATGTACGAAGAAGGTTTGGAAATACGTGCTAAGAACGAATTACGAAACCAAAGAATTCGAGAAGCTATGGAACGAAAATATCAGCAGATGGTGGAAAACAATGTACCAAACAAATACGTAAACGAAGTTAAGCGTAATATCGATAAGATAAAATGAACGTGAAAAATTTATATAAAAAATATATATATACAAGAAATTTGTGTTACCGTCTAATTGGGCAAGTACTTACTTGACTGTATTAACTCATCACTTCCACAACATCACAACATTAGGATCTCTCTCAACAATTTCTTCGATCTGAGCTGCTGACTGTCCAGTATTACAGCATATTTCATCGAGATTGAAAGCTCCGGTGAAATGCTTATAAATCGAATTGTTGCGGCCTTCTTCGCTTGAACCGCCGGGCAAAAGAATCGGATACTACGAATTATACAAAAGTATATAATTACTTCCTCAAACTATTAATAAGTTTCTATAATAAATATATTCTTCGATTATTGTATTTTATGCACAATATCTTTAAACAATCTATAAATATCCGATATGCATATAATCATATATATATATATATATATATATATATATATATATGCATTATTATTTCAAAGGGCAAAAATGATTAAAGCAAATTTTACACGTAAGAATCATTGGATTAAAATAATATTCAATCTATATAATTAAGTTTGACATGATGATGTTGAAAAATTTTCATTACGATTTACAGTCGTTTTTTAGTGTCAGCCTTTACTGAAAGATTCCTAACTTGAAGAAATACCTTGTATACTCGACGAATTAAACCCTCGATTAGTCCGAATTGTATAAGCTTCCTCTCATTAATTCTTAAGTTCTGAGGATTCAATCGTTGACACAAATCCCTCATACTGCTCCCATGAGTCATCGAGGCATACATTCGATAGATATCTCTTAAATATGCTGGCTGCCTAGCTAATAATATTAAAAATTATTACAATTAAGATACTTTAAGAATATTTTGCTTTCCTATTCATTTCTAAATATAAATTATTTATAAACATAAATATAAAACCACCAAAGTCTTTTAAAAGGGATAGATTTTATATTTAAATTAGTAATAATAATAATAATAATAATAATAATAATAATAATAATAATAATAATAATAATAATGATGATGATGATGATGATGATGATGATGATGATGATGATGATGATGATGATGATGATGATGATGATGATGATGATGATGATGATGATGATGATGATGATGATGATGATGATGATGATGATGATGATGATGATGATGATGATGATGATGATGATGATGATGATGATGATGATGATGATGATGATGATGATGATGATGATGATGATGATGATGATGATGATGATGATGATGATGATGATGATGATGATGATGATGATGATGATGATGATGATGATGATGATGATGATGATGATGATGATGATGATGATGATGATGATGATGATGATGATGATGATGATGATGATGATGATGATGATGATGATGATGATGATGATGATGATGATGATGATGATGATGATGATGATGATGATGATGATGATGATGATGATGATGATGATGATGATGATGATGATGATGATGATGATGATGATGATGATGATGATGATGATGATGATGATGATGATGATGATGATGATGATGATGATGATGATGATGATGATGATGATGATGATGATGATGATGATGATGATGATGATGATGATGATGATGATGATGATGATGATGATGATGATGATAATAATAATAAACCAAGCTCCAATGGGTTATTCATTATTCCATTAATATGTTCTAAAATTTAATTGAATTATTTCTTATCCAACAAACATACGCGGTTAATTGATTATAAATTCGTTAATTAAAATATTTAATTGAAATAGCTATGTTGTAAACGATAATCCATACGCTCCATACGCTAATTTTTAACAATTAGAATATTAATTATTCAATGTGGTATTTTAAAATACATTATTTTTTATTATAAATTTATAGATCCTTTACGTACTTGACTTTGATGTATATTCTATGCAGCGTACTTGTAATTGTAAATTTTCTGCTAGTTCCTTTAATTTTGGTGTCGTAGCATAAACATTACTATACTGGAATATCGGTATAAGTGTAACCACTCCGTAATATCTATAATTAATTACGGTTATAATATTATTTTTGGCAATTGTTATTAAAACAATTTGAATAGATGCATTATAAAAAAATTAAAAAAAAAAAAAAAAAAAAATAAAAAAAGTCTTACACAAGATTTTGCACACAACTTTTAACAAGATTATTTTCTACATCAGCCTCTGCTGCTATACGTGACACGTGATTAAAGCCATCGATGTACGGTAACACTTGCTGAGTAGTTAAATCCCACTGATCGCTTCTAAATGCTTCACGTCCTTCGAGAAATATTGGTACTTGATGATCAAAAACTGGTTTAGGTTCTGGAGCTAATCTTACAACTTTTAAATGCGATGTCATCGTTCCTTCTGAAAAAAAAGTTATGGTAAATATTTTGCTTAAACGTAACGAAGCTAGAGTACATTATCACCATTACCGGTCAAAGTACACATTTTATGCATATTTAAATCTTGCATTACTTGCTGCAACATCTCTAAAAGCCGTGTCTTATCATCCGAGGCTGATAAAAAGCAATTCTCTATCTCCAATGCCATCTTTAATATAAAACAAATTTATATAATTTCGACCAATATTCATAAATGGAAAAATAGCAATAATAATAATAATAATAATAATAATAATAATAATAATAATAATAAATAATAATAATGATAACAATAGCAAATCGTTACCAAAAAGTCTGACATTTTCTTTACTACTGGTTCATAATGCACTGTTCTTGCTTCAGCATCGCAAACAAAACAGAGGTTAAAGTAGAATGCATTTCTGGCATATTTTTTATTGTCAATTTTCGTAGGGAATCCCAATATTTTATAATCTTTTAGGGTGCTAAAAGTTGTTTGATAGTATCAATTATAAAATATGAATAAAGTAAAATAATAATAACAAAAATAAACATAAAAGGTTCGCGATATATATTGCCAAGCATTGTGGAGTTTACGTGAAAGATTGACGACGGAAGAAGGAGAACGAGAGCGAGAGAGACGGAGCGAGTGACGGTGTTGGGGGAGGTAAGAGGGAGAGGGAGATTTTGTATTTGGCTTAAAGAGGTATTTCTGTAAACTCGTGTACGAACACACGTACAATGCTCCGCGAACCGCGAATACTTCATCTGATAATAAAAATACGAACACAGTAATTGTACTTCTTTGGAGCTGAGCTTTTGGTATAATATACACGCTGACGTTATCGAATATATCCTTTGATATAAAATTGTCTGGTACCTAAAATAATAGATTTATTTTATAAATTAAATATTGTTTCGTTCGTTCGTTAAAAGAAATTGCTTAAGAAATGAAAGAGAACAAAAACAACAATTTAATACATTGTCTTGAGAAACGTCTCTGCTTTTTTATTTGATTTACAATTACTCAATTTATTACTTGCAGTTGCATAAATCAATGTGAAGAGAGAAGATATTATAAACTAACCTGACAAGTAATTTTAGGACCTGCCGTTGGATGAAATTCAGAGAAAAAGATACATCGAATAGGCCCTTCTTGCCCACTATCCTCTGTATTTTTTGCTGTAAAGGATACATTTTCCTTCATCACTTAATTTATCGTTAAAAACCACCCCTTTCCTACTCAAATTTTACTCCTAGAAAATAATTCACAATAGCTCTCTTATTATATGCATGATGCGCGCGCAATGCGCGCCAAGTCTATGTTTACTACAATCATAGTTGTAATAATTGTTACGTAAGAAGTTGTAAAATAAATTTTTATCTATAAATTAATCTAGAATTAAAACAAGCATGTACTTGCTAATTGATATCATTGTAATTTTTTTATTGAAATGAGACTAATGTGGAATAAATGTGCGTTAAATGTGCTTATAAGAACGTAACTTAAACATTAAACGCTTAAACATATTTTTAATTAACTTTAGCTCATAAATTTTTTTAATCATTATGAAAAAATTTATATAAAATACAGTTTAAAAAGAAAGAAGATAATAAATATAATAATTGATTTTTCTGATTATTGTATTTCGTAATCTTATTGTATATGTAGTATTCAAGTTATAACATAAGCTTAATAGTTTAAAAATTTATTATTCTACCATTTTTAAATAAATATTGAATCTTGGCTCAAGACTGAAAATGACGTATATATCCAATAAATAATAATTATATATATATATATATATATTAAAAAAGAACGATTTTATCAATAAGAACTCGATTAAAGTTTCACGATCTCTCTAATTACACAATTAAATAATATTAAAGAGGAATAGATAAAAATTAATGTTCATTTAATGAATATTTCTAATTAATATGAACAAGGAGTGAATAAGGAGCACATACGATAAAAATTTTATTTAATTATTATTACAAGCAATCAAATTATTATAAAATCGTACAAATATTTATTTAATTTTTTAATGTTAGATATAAAGTTCGATAGCTCGTTTTACCAAAATATTACTTACATACTAAACAATAATTTATAAAATCCATATTACAAAGATTTTTTTTATCTTATGAAATAAAATACAACGTTAAACAAAATTTAAAAATTGTATTAATTTTAATTTTTGTAACTATTAATATAAAACTTTATAGTATTTATGTATATTTTAATTGCGTGTAGATATAAATGAATCTGTATATAACTCTAAATATAATACATAAATATTTATCGTAACAAATTATATTTTCAGTATAAGTAAATGTTATTATGCAATACATTACATTTTTATAATTCAGCAGTTTTTACTTTTAATGAAAGTGAAAATTTTCCTAAATTTCTCAGGTCCGTTCCATAAGCCCCTGAAAATTGAATAAAATAGTTAATTGTTTATCGCATTTCCATGCAAACATAATTATTGAATGGTAGAGGAACCAACTTAAGCATTAGATTCCAATATATAAATGGAAATAAATGTTTTTTTAACAAATACATTAACAATAATTCCCTCTTCTGATTAATAGGAAAAGTTTCTTGCGGTGTGAAAGTATAATCAAATTCAGCGAGAATACACTTTCCAGGCGCTGTTACTAATGGACACGACGAGTAACCATTATAAAACATTTTCATTTCTCGCCCAGATAAATTGGCCATTATATTCTCATACAAAACTTTACTTTGCGATGCTACGAAAAGAAAGCAATAAATTAATACAAAAATATATTAAACTTTTGCTCTATAAAATGTAATACCTATCGCAGCCATTGTCTTGGAATTGGGTGTACTAGTACAATCACCGATACCATAAATATTTTTGAACTTATTATGCTGCAATGTTTGTGGATGGATGTCAAGAAAACCTACTTCGTTTGATAACGTTTCATGTTTTTTCAATATGTCTGGTGGCCCCATTGGTGGAGTGACATGTAGCAATGAATACTACTAACAAAAGCGTATCAAGTTTTTGTTACAAAAGATAATATGTAAGATAAAAATGCCATACTTTTGCAATGTGCTTATTTTCTGGTTTTTCTAAATTTTGAAAGACAGCTTCTTTTTTGTCAGGATTAATTGCAATAAGATTCGTATGTAAATTGACTTGGATATTCCGATTATTACAAACTTGCAGAAGCGAGTTGGCATACTCTTTTACACCAAAGATCACTGGTAAACTTGTATTATATACAACATTAATATTATTCCGTGTCTTATTCTATTAAATACAAAAGAAACAAACAACAAGTTTGTAAACAATAAATAATAAAACCGAACTATTTATAAATAAATATACATACAGTAGTCCAATAATGTTCAGATATATAAGCAATTTTTTGAGGAGCTCCAGGACATTTTACCGGTGTATTTGGAAATGTAAATAAGGCATTGCCTTCCTCTGTTTTCTTTATTTTATCAAAGACGTTTGCCACCGTATTTGGCCCATATATGGAGCAAACTTGAGCCTCCGGATTTTGTAAACTTTCTATTAATCCTGGCAACTAAATAAAATCATTAATCATATGTAGAAAAAATGCGATTTAAATAATCATACGCATATCTATTAACTTTATTCCAATGTAATTCTAAACCAATTGCCACTATCATTACATCATACTGCACAGTATCTCCGTTTTCTGTTTTAACTTTATTTTCCTCGGGTTCGAACGACACAACCTTATCTTTCAACCATTGGGTATTTTTAGGTAGAACGTCTTTCATTAATTTCTTAGAGGTATCAAATTTTGAAATGCCTCCTCCTATCAATGTAAATAATGGTTGATAATAATGATCCTAAGTAAAAATATTAAATTATTATTAATATCGACTCTGTTTACAAAAACAGATTTTTCGAAATGCGTAATACTTTGCTTGGCTCAATAATTATCACATGATTTGGGCTCTTGTGAAAAGTTTTAGACAGTTTCGCAGCCATTGTACAACCACCGGTACCACCACCGATAACCAATATCTTGCATCTGAAATCAACTTATCGTTAACATTTATAAAATTACTTTTTAAGAGGATAAATATAAATTACAATTTAGAAAACTAATATAAATGTTTGATTCATTCATTTATATCAGGATATAAAATTGCTTATGTATATATTTCTATAATTATAAAGAAATTCATTTATATGTTTGAGTTTATTGAATGTTACAATAAGCTTTGCAATCAAAATAAATTGAACTTACGAATGATGTGCATATCTAATAACATTTGGAAAACTTGTATTTCTTGATATTGACAATAAATTACTGTTAACTACGCTGTGCATTCTACTTAATTTTTTTTTATACTATACTATAATAATAATAAGAAATTAAGTATCGTTAAATATTAAATAAACAATTAGTCTAAAGGAATTATCTTCTTAAAGTCATTATTGGCATTAAAGACATATAAATTATATTCACATGAAATGCTAATGTACAAATTTAGAAAGAAAAAAAAAAAAAAAAAAAAAAAAAAAAAAAAAACAATAAATCACAAGTGTTTAAAATTTATAGGAAATCGTGAAATTTAATAGAAAAATTGTATTTAATTACTTGCACAGAAGTTGCAACCACAGTTTTAACCTTAAAATAATATATTTCTACAAGAGTATCGTAAAACACTCGGCAAAAACTTTATCAAAGCGCGGTCGTATTAATTTAGTAGCTTAAATTACATCGCAGACAAGCCTTAATAAATTATATTACATACCAAACATACAGTAACCAATAAATTCTATGAAATTTCAAAATAAAAGAAAATTATTTTTTATTATTTTATGGATAAAGTCTTATGAATATTTAATACAAATATTTAAATGAAAGCATTTTATCAATGTTGTTTTTTGTTTGTTTGTTTGTTTGTTTGTTTGTTTTTTTTTTTGGTAGAATTATATTTAAACAATATTTATAAATCAATTAATCAAATCAATTTTTCTGCCACGCTCGAAATTAATAAGACATAAGATTAAGAGCCAAATTAAAAAAATCGTTAAAACAAAATAAATACTTTGTCGATATTGTACGATAAATGTATAGAGTTTGTTATAAGAACAAAATTACAAAATTAATATACGTAATTTCCTAAAGTAATTTTATAATATTTCAATATATATATATATATATATATATATATATATATATAAAATTTAATTTATTAAAACTTTCAAAGAGGCAAAACGATTTATCGTGATCGATTCACCGTCGTCTACTCGATCATTACGGACTTCGTCGAAAGGCCAACCAAACCATGAAGTATTTCGCTCCTCTGCATCTCAAAGTCTTTAAATTTATTCCATAAACCCAGTCACGTGAGTTTGAAAAAGCCTCGACAAGCATTCGAATAATCTATAATTATTCAAACAAATACAATTTTTATTCTTCTTCTTTTTACAATAGCACTTTTAATTATTATTAATTACATTATGCATGTTAATGCTCATTATATATACTTATCTTATGGCAGTGTATAAGCATCGTTACTCGAGTTACACGAGTTTCAAAGCAATTCAATGTAATTCTGAAATTTAAAAGAATTATTTAGGAATAATAATAATAGTGCAAAATAAACTACAATGTACTACACTACACAGATCGAACATTGTTAATTAGACGCAAGCCAATAAAGATTGCGAAGAAGTGGTATATTTAACAAGATTGTATTGTCGTATTATCTCTTTTTGCTCGTGATCGAAAAAATAATTCTTCGTAATATTTATTTGATCGATCCTCCCGTTCGCTTTATATCCACATAATGCATCACGTCAAAACGTCACTGCCCTGTGCCTCGAACCATTCACAATCCATGAATTTCTATGCCAACAGTCGCCGAGTCTCAATTGCTGGCACATCGCTCAAATTCATAAGCACCGACTTACCTTTTTCACGTAGAGAGTATCGAATAACCAAGAGGCGAAATATTCTCCACCTTAGCTTATCCCACCGCATACTTGCAACTCTATATTTTTTTTTTCTTTCGTATTTGCTAATGCAGCGAGTCTCCGCGCATTATTACCGCCCAATAGATCTTTGATTACTGGATTGAAATAGTAATTTATCTCTCCGTCCAGGAAGTTAATTATATCGAGATTATCCCACGTGTTTTCCATTAGATTTCATAGATAGGAGAATACACTTGTATTCATCAACTGATTACATAACGCCGAATTTCCATATACTTTGCGACGAACAATTTGCAATCTAAATACATAGTCTAACGAATGTGAAGATAAATTAGGTTTTAATCTAATTAAAGCATGTAGTAGTATCAACGCCCAAATCTGCCTAGGCAGATTCACACATCGACGTCTACCCGAATACGAGCTTGCGATGCTCACAGAGGATTTACTTCGCTGCTTGTTGCATCTTATTACATTACACACATTGTTGTGACATCTCGATTGATTGTCCCTCTTCCAATATTCGAGCTTGCGATTGTCCTTGCGATTGTATCCTGATTAAAATTTAATTTTAACATCCCTTCATCTTCGATATTTACCCGAGCACTAATAATAAGCCTTGTCTAATGTCGTCATCGAGACTACCGCCTTTCTAGTTACATTGATACTCTCCATCTTTATCGCTTTTCACCTCGGTCCAAATTTTTTTTTTTTTTTTTTTTTTTTTTTTTTTTTTATGAGCTTCGACGCACGGTCGATCTGGTCTCCGTACAATTGCTCCATCATTTTCAGCATAATTACCATGTTCTAGGACCTCGGATTTGTCAAAGTTTAATTCGACTCGAAAATCAATACTTGTGCTTGAATAATGCAGGCACCCCATAATCGCACATTCTAAGAAATATGCGTTAACTGCGAGAAAAATGCCAGCCAACACGATCGATCGACGCCTATGATCAAAATAATAATAATAATAATAATAACAACAACAACAACAACAACAACAACAACAACAACAACAACAACAACAACAACAACAACAACAACAACAACAACAACAACAACAACAACAACAACAACAACAACAACAACAACAACAACAACAACAACAACAACAACAACAACAACAACAACAACAACAACAACAACAACAACAACAACAACAACAACAACAACAACAACAACAACAACAACAACAACAACAACAACAACAACAACAACAACAACAACAACAACAACAACAACAACAACAACAACAACAACAACAACAACAACAACAACAACAACAACAACAACAACAACAACAACAACAACAACAACAACAACAACAACAACAACAACAACAACAACAACAACAACAACAACAACAACAACAACAACAACAACAACAACAACAACAACAACAACAACAACAACAACAACAACAACAACAACAACAACAACAACAACAACAACAACAACAACAACAACAACAACAACAACAACAACAACAACAACAACAACAACAACAACAACAACAACAACAACAACAACAACAACAACAACAACAACAACAACAACAACAACAACAACAACAACAACAACAACAACAACAACAACAACAACAACAACAACAACAACAACAACAACAACAACAACAACAACAACAACAACAACAACAACAACAACAACAACAACAACAACAACAACAACAACAACAACAACAACAACAACAACAACAACAACAACAACAACAACAACAACAACAACAACAACAACAACAACAACAACAACAACAATAATAATAATAATAACAACAACAATGATAATAACTAATTAATAATAATAATAATAATAATAATTAATAATTAATAATACTAATTAATAATATCGTTAGTATAAATTTAATGAATTTATTCTTAATTAGCCTTGTTCCCTTAATAACGGAAGTGACCTTATCGTGAGATGTAAATTTCTAGACCTCTGACAGCGTATTCGGTAAATTAAACGACTGTATCAGTGTGTAGGAATTCTGTAATCTTGTTATAATGGTTGGCAGACTGATTACAGGGGATCTCGCGTTGACCTAGGTTTGCCAATGGATAGGTCTAACGCACAATCTTACTCACTCGCTCGCTCGTCCATTCGCCTTACCGTCCCTTGTGTTATCGACGTCTATTGCAACGCATCCAGCTTGTGAGCATTGTTTGACCAATCAGTCGAGCTTCGATACTAGAAATTAAAGGGAGGAGGGTGGGAGGGATAAATAAATAAATAAATGGAGATTTAATTAATGAAAAATCGCTTAAATATACGATATTATCGAATTATTTCTATACATCACAAAAGTTTTGTAAGATATTACGTAAAAAAGACAAGACAAAGATAATTATTACTTTCGCCGTTTTTTTTTTTTGTTTTTTTTGTTTTTTTGTATTTTATTTTTTTGCAAAATTTCCAACATCTTCGCGAGTTATTTTACATTACAAGCTATTGATCTCAATAGAAAATAACTTATTTGTAAAAATAAAAATGTAAGCGTGAACTTTTTTTATATTTATAATATCAAAATCCGTATAACATGTAATAACAATTGTTGGTAATATTGGCGAATAAGACTAAATTGTTCGATTGAAGTATCAAATGAAAATTCGTATAAATTAAAAATTCCAGGATACCATTATGTGACCTATGCGTATCCTTTAATATTTTCGAAATTACAATGTGTTTCGAGTAAAAAAAAATTTAACAACCCTATTAAATTTCTACTTATTCCTTCATGTTATTATAATTTTATTAAAGAATGTATATTATATAAAGTACAAAGAATTTATTTACATGTCAAATTAAAACAATGATAAACTGTATAACTGATAATTCTTGGTATTATTGCAATTTTATCCATTGAAAATAAATTCAGCCATTGCTTGTAGTTTTTACTTATATTGCACAATAAATACGTACGAGGATTCAAATATCAAGGGTTCAACCTAAGAATAAAAGAACAACAACAACGACGACAACGACAACGACAAAAATAAACAACATATTTGTGTAGTATATCGTTAATTTATTAATATTTACAGGTACATAATGGTACAGATATACCTAGTGGCATGAGCAAATGGAGGAACAAACAAACATGAACGTCGTGTCCTTTATTTAATAAATTTTTATTTTCACAAATTATTGTGTTTTTTTTTCTTCCATTTATTCTCTTGTTTCTCATCGTTTGTCCCTTTTTATATATATTTACACTCTTCAGGCCTTAACCTTTATGCTTTACTACATCACTCGTACATTTGCTCTGCATACGATACAGAAGTTCGCTGAAGATCGGCCAAAAGAAAGGTACCGTCGTCGTCACCTTTTTCTCGCTCTCAATCTATCTCCCACTCATTTTCACCGTCTCACGCATTCACGTGTGCATGTATGTGCAAGTGTTTTCTCTTTCTGCAATACATATACTTACGAACAAAGCGCATCGTAAAACGCATTTGTCATTTTATTATTAGAGGCGCATTTATGCTAACAACCGTCGTCAGAAACCAATTTTTTTACCATTCTTGTCGCACTCTTAAATCTTTTATTCAAAATTACTTTTACAAAATAATATCTGATTACGTGTTTGTCCATCTATTAAATTATAGAACTTAACGTATGTTAATTTTTTTTATTTTTTTTTTTTCTCCAAAATAAACTATGACCTGGCAAACAGTTCGATTTAAACATTAATTAGCCGATTAATTATTCTCTAGCGTGTACTGTGACA